GCCCTCTCACTCCTTCTGTGACTTACACATTACATGTGTTTGAGTTTAATCAAGTGGATCCTTTGTTGGCATCTTATGATCCAACGAAGAATTACATGTCAACAAGGCCCCAATTTCATTTCAACTATAGCATCATTTTAATGAGTGTAGGAATCTTGATCAGATTTTTTTCCTTCTCTGAACACGTTTCTGCTCCTTATTCTAATTTATTGATCTTATGTTTTTGGTGGATCACTAAGTTTCAATAGGATCGTGTATGGGTCCATATGCAATATGTAAAGCTACTGAGATTTGGTGTTAGTCATTCATATAGTTTGAAATATGAATTTAGTACATTTTGTTGTTTATTATATGGTTTTGTCCTATGATGGTTACTATGCACTAACTTGGACCGTGGAGCGATAAAATATGAATTGCGAGTGAAAGGACCAATGAGAATGGCATAACTCATTTGAAATGGTTCAATGTTAAATATTACATTAAATTTAAATATACAAAAATTAAAACATACCTTGCAGTATTGATTAAGTATTGACATTTTAAAATTAAAGTATTGATGTTTTTGTCTAAATTAAAACTAAAACACAATTTAAGAAAAATACCCGCAGCGTAGCGCGGGTTTTAAACCTAGTTTAATATAAAACTAAATAATAAGCATTCTTCTTTAATACTAGTAATAAACTTTTCATATATAGAGTGATGTTGCATTTCTAGGCAACAAGAGTAAAAATAAATTATCGATAGGTAAAAATCAAATAAAAGAGTCAATGGTAAAACAAGTTGGCGATTAGTATTAACTTTTTTTAATCGAGGGGCCAAAGAAAGGTAAAATAATAGTGTCCCGACAAATGAAATTCGACATGATGTAATGAGGATTTACCATTAAATATGGTTGTCACTTTCATAGACTTTCTTCACCAATTTCCAGATCTCCCGCTTTACCATTCCATTTATGGGAATTTCATTATTCTATTCCCACTAGTTTTATTATTTACTACTAATACCTAGCTTTTTTTTTAACTATTTACCACCTACCTACTGATATTTTTTTTATAACAGTTACAAAATGTGGGAAGGAAACAAAAAAGTACTTGCAGTAATCTCCAATATGTTTCATAAACTGAGTAATGGGCCGGTTAACTTTCCTTATATTGGTCTAAGGAGAATATATAAAAGCCCATTTAAACTATTGTATAATCCTATAGAGAGCAAGTGTAAATATCTAAAGCTTTTTGCGTGTTGATGAAACAAAGAAGACGAAAAAATGGCGAAATTATTCATCAAGCAAGCGGAGCAATACGCAGCAGCTCGACCCAATTATCCGACCAAACTTTTTGATTTCATCGCATCGAAAACGCCGTGCCACGACCTTGCTTGGGACGTCGGCGCCGGAAGCGGCCAGGCCTCACGATCGGTGACAATCATCTTGAATTTCTAAATTACTTTCAAATTCTATATCATGTTTGGGTTTGATAGACTTTTGAATCTAAAAATTCTATATTCGTATTTTTTTTTCAGCTAGCCGGAATCTACAAGAACGTAATTGCAACCGATACGAGCTCAAAGCAACTTGAATTTGCTGCAAAGCTTCCCAACGTCCGTTACGAGCTCACTCCAGCGACGATGTCGTCATCGCTAGTGGCACCAGAATCATCAGTCGATTTAGTCACCGTCGCACAAGCCCTTCACTGGTTCGAACTCACGACCTTTTACAGCAACGTGAAACACGTGCTCAAGAAACCCAACGGCGTAATCGCCGCGTGGTGCTACACCAATCCGGAGGTCAACGCCGCCGTGGACAAGATTTTCCGGCGGTTTTACGATGAGAAACTTGGACCGTATTGGGATAAAGCGAGGCGGCTTGTGGAGGATGGGTACAGAGGAATTGAGTTTCCGTTCGAGAAAGTAGATGATGATGATGACTCAACGGAAAGTCAAAGTTTGCCGGTTAGGTTTGTGACGGAGAGAGAAATGGTGTTTGAAGAGTATACGACTTATCTGAGGTCAACTTCGGCGTATCAGACGGCTAAGGAGAAGGGTTTGGAGCTTTTGACGGCGGAGATGGAAGCAGAATTTGCTGATTCGTGGAAAGAAGATGGGGAGGAGAAAAAAGTTGTTAGGTTTCCGATTCACTTGTTGATCGGAAGAGTTGGAGAAGATGGCATTTGAATAGATATCTCCAACACCCGAGACAAGAATATCTATGGTTACTACTTCCTACTTACTAGTTTCCAACTTATTTATGATCTTGTGACTTTAAAGGAATTCCTATGGAAAATGTTTTCAAATTTAAAATGAGCCATATTGACAAGAGACTTATGGAAAGTAGATGCTATTTTTGTAAATTAAAGAGACAAAAGAGATGATTGTAAACTGATTCTTATTGACTTAATACTGCCCTGTTTTATAATCGTATTACAACCAATAGATCCTAAATGACAGGAACCACTCAAAGACTAATTCACCAGGAAGGCAAGCTCATCGTGTCGTGAATAATAGGCACGTTATTTTCAAGAAGCAAAGTGTTGAGAAAGGGATCACTGGTGGCATTATTGATTTGATAATCTCTCATGCAATAATGTAAACAAGATACCTCTAGATAGATCAGAAAGGGTTTCATTCTTGAATCTGATAGGTCCAATCAAAGCCCAAGACTTGGATACTCGGAGTGGTCCCATCTCGCGAGGCCGAATCAGACATCTTTTTTTTTTTTAATAAGTTGGACAAACGACTCCTTATTAGCAGCAACAAATGATTCTACAAGCTCCGTGAGGGCGAGAGCGCAATCCCTACGGGTATCCTCCTTCCGCTTGTTTTCAACGAACAAAAGCAGCTCCTCCTTATTCATGATTACTTTGCTGCTCGCCATATCGTCGTCCATCGGGATCGGATTCGATGTTAAACCCAGACAACGGTTGTAAAAAATCCCTAGGGTTTGTTGACATTTATATAGGATTACCTTTACGAATGGGCCCAAAGGCCCCAAACATATATATAGGTTTTTTTTTTTTTTCTGGTCAAACCGCAAATTTGTAGAAAATCAAAAGAAGTTTACACTCTTATAAGGGAAGAATTAGAAACAAGAAACAAGAAACAAGAAACAAGAAACACTATTATTTGAGCAATGCTTAATGACTTTTTTACCTATGATATTTAAGTATTAATGACACTAGGAAAGTCATTTGGTTACACTTATTACAAAGAATATTAGAAAGATTGTTACGGAAATCATTTTATTAACCAACATTAAAAACACGCGGATCTCTGTAGCTGCCCCACCCGTTTTCTTATTTGGATTTAACTTCTGGTGGTCGAGGCCCATTTCGCAACAATTATCGAAGCCTTTCTTAGCCCAAAACTGCAAAACAAAATTGAAATATATAAGTTTTGCCGCTCACTTCATAACCCTCTTCTCGAAGACTCAATAAATTTTCAGATACCATATCATACCAGACAATCATAAATGTAGATATTCCTGTTAAGCATTTTTAGAAGCTTCTTATTAAGCTTCTTATTAAGTATTTACGAATAAAAGAGAAACTACCTTATCTAAACAAACAATTTGCCTCGAATCTATGAAAATCAAACCTAAATGTATCGCAATTTCAAAACTAACTAATAAGAACATTTATCACCACATACCATTTCAGTTGCATAAAATCTTAACTAGAATAATTTCCACACGGATTTTCCTTATCCAAAAGAGCATATTCTCTAATTTATGCCAATGCTGCGTACCCTAACTTCAATAGTCAACCACTACACTATATATATGAGGCAATATCACAGTGACAAACCATTCAAGCAAAACCATTAAACGTTTCTCTAGCAAAAACAGTAGATCGCTTCATCAATCAACAATGGCTGGGGCTCAAGCAATCACCTACCTTTCAGACGTGAAGGCACACAAAAACAGTTGGCGTGTGCAGACCAAAATCCTTCATACCTGGAAGGGATATACGGGAACATCAGGAGAGAGCTTAGAAATGGTGTTGGCAGACCAACAGGTATGATAAAAATATGAACTTATAGAGATTGTTCCTTAGTATCAAGATGTCTCTGATGACAGTATCGGGAGAGTTCTCATCCATTGAAAATGTCCTTTGTTAACAACACCTTTGTTAAAATATGAACTTATGCAGGTACTACTTTTGCTACGCGGATTATGAAAAAGTAAGTATTTAGTCTTTAAGAACTTAATTGTTTGTTACGTAGGCATCACTATTTTTACATTACAATTATGTAGTCTGATTAATGAGTAATATTTATTCCCACTGTGTGCAGACTCTAATAGAGAGTAACAAGGTACGTAGTCAATTGGCTGCAAAATTGGCTAAATTGAAACAACTGCAGATGAAGTTGAATGGTCGGGAGCAGCAGGCTGTTGGAATTTCCATAGAAAATCTAAAAGAGTCAACAGAGCTCTGGAGAAAGAAAATAACGAGCTTAAGGTGTATTTTGTACAATTTTTTTTTTAAGCAAGGAATTTAGCATTTTTAGTTTTCCTCTGAGTTTAGAACTCTGACACTTACATTTATTTTTTGTTGTGTATAAGTGTATTTGAAACAAAGTGAATTAGAGGCTGCTTTGGAGGCAAGCCAGAGGTCAACAAGTAAGAAACTCTTCCCGGAGGGTACAAAGGCTCTTAGTAGACATCTTAGTAGTTTGGACAAGGTTCTTTAATGCTAACTTTTGATTCATTTAGCCCTTTAGCCAAAAGAAACATTTTTATAATGCAAAAATTAAGTATGGAACAAGTATTAAGGTCCCTTCTGCTTTTCCTCATGTACAATTAGGAGAAGCCTGGAAGCTTCCCTGGGAAAGATGATATGGAGATATCTTTGTAGAGGCTAGAAAAGGAGTGGAGGAAGCACGAAGAGAAAAGAAATGAAAGAACTAAAGCGGCTCAAAAACACCAGTTAGAAAAGGTTATTATCCTAAGCTAATTTTCTTAAAAAAAAAAAAGTTTAGCTTATGTTTATGGAGATAACGAAGTTATTCAACGCCAGCTATGTTTATAATATCTGAAAATAACTTGCAGTATCCTATAATTATTATAAGAGTATATGCTAACAATATGGAAAGGATCTAAATGTAATTAGTTAAGACCTAATTAGTCTCACGAGTCTGTATATATACTGTCTTGGCTTTCTTAATGGGCAAGACCTTCATTTTGTCTTGGCTTTCATTCAGGGCATTCAGTCTTTCCACTTCAGCTTCAGCCTATGACCAAAAAAATATTAGACTTGGTAAAAAGTTTGATACTCTGAATTGGACATAGCAGAATAGATGAATATATGTAACTAAGGAAAAAATATGATCGCATTACCTCCCGGAGAATGTCCAGACCTAGGCACCCTTTTTCCAAGGCATCATCAGCTGCCTGAGAGAGTAAACTACTGAAATGGCCAAATCTTCCCCTCTCATCCACAGGTGTTTCCATTAGCTCCCACAGCTCATGCATTGTTCTTAGCAAACCTTGTAACTGAAATAAACAAAAAAAAAATAAGATTATCAATTCGTACTAGCCATGGTTTGCTTTCTTGGATTTCCTGAATTTCTTCATTTCAGTGAAAAAATGATACAAGGTTAAATTAGAGGCTACCAAATAAAAACGTGATTTTCCTAATCTTGAATGCAATAATCAGAAATCATATACATATATATTAAATCACCACAAAAATCTTGACTGATATCCCAACCTGCATGTAAGTAACAATGTCTAAATTTTGCCAAACATATGCTAGGCTGCTTTTGCAGGAGCTACAAATTAATTATTAGACTTCTGACAAAGCAGCACTCAAAATTGGCTCGTCAAGTAGGTAAGAAAGTGAATAATGTTGCTCACACGTAACATCTGAACCCAAAGTGTAATTCAGCAAACTAGCTCATTTGTGCACTCTATTCGGATAACAAACTGATCAAATATAATGCAAAATTATAAGTCAAAACAGTTCCGAAGTATTCATTGCTCACCTGAAGCAGCCTCTGATGTTTCTCCTTCTTCCGAGACTCTACAAGTTCTGTTAATCCAGCAAGCGTATCATCAGAAATACTTAATGAACATCCAGTCAAGCTTTCATGGACTTTAAGCAAGGCCTCAGAGAGATCAAATGACATTATCTCTGACAACTCATGGACAACACTGATATACGAGTTTACTTTCTGCAGTCGAACAGCCTGAAATTGAAATAAAGATGATAAGCGCATAACCACAAACATTTTGAACAAATACCTAATGTGTACATATAAATATAAGAAGACCTTTTCATTGTGAAGATACTGCAAATATGCTTTAAGTCCATCCAATGTTGTTTGTGTCAGATCGCCAGAGCTACAAGGGTAATCATTCCCCGCTATGTTAGAAGAGATCTCTGCTATTTGTGTCAGTATCTCAGAAAGTTCTTTCCCTTTCAGATCTTTTTTCATCCGCAGATCTTCCAGTAGAGGCTTTACAGTGGAAATGCGATCCTTTAAAGAGGCTCCTTTCTTCTCAAAGATAAAAAAATAACATGCATAAGAAAACAAATCATGTCTGCTCTCTATGAAACAAACATGCAGTGATCTACGAGTACCATACCCATGAAAACGAAACTTACTTGTTCACCAAGTGTAGAAATGAGGCTGGCAATTTCTGCTTCAGCTTCAGATAACGATCTCTGTAACTCATCTCTGTACTTGCGAGTTTCATCAACCTTTTCTTTGTATATATCTAGACATTTCTGCTCAAGTTCTTGCGTCATCTTCTCTCTCATATCGTCACTTTCACCAATCTCGAGCCATAGTTCCTACATGAGCATAAAATTTGTGGTAAATTCCGAACTAATCAAGGGAAGAAAGAGTCAGTTATCAGAAGCATGAACCCAAGAAAAACAAATTTGATATTCAATTGAAGCATGAACCATAGAAAAACAAATTTGATATTCAATTGTTAAGTAACTCGCCGGCAATCACACTCGCCGGCAATTCAAAGGCATAGTAACTCGAAACAATCCGGGAAAATTGATTAAACTATGGAGAAAAGCGAAATCAGAGAAATAGGAGTTACCTGCAACTCCTGAAGAAGGGAAGAGCGAGCGGTGGTGTGAGGAAGGGAAGAGCGAGTGGTGGTAGAAGAAGCAGGCGTTGGCGGCATTTCTAGTTCCGGCGTTGCCATTACTAGTTCCGGCGTCGTCCGCTCTGTTGGTGGTTCAATGTTACGGTTCTCCAAAGCGGAAAAGAAAATTGATCAAGATATTTGATCTTGATCAAGAACAGAAAATGTAACTGATTCTCTGCGTCTGAGTTTGGCGCGATGATCAGAGAGAGTAACACATCTTTTGAATTCTTCCCTTGTATCCTGATGGGCCTTTCATATTTTATGGACTTTAGGCCCATTTTTTTCTTATCCTCTCGCCTTCGCAATCGCACAAATGACGGCGTTCTTGAGAGCGAGACTACAGTGACTAGTAGTCTAGGCATTCGGTAAAAATCGAACCGACTGTTACGATGTTCGGTCACCGTCAGATGACTCGGAAAACTCCGCATCGTTCTCATCACGGAAGAGATCGACGGCGACGATCGTTTCATCGAAGTCTCCGGTGTCGTTGAAACTGCTGGCGGCTGCATAATGAATGAAGAAGAAGGAACATCATAATCGGTAGGGTCGGAGTGAGATTAAAGGTAACTTTATTATAGGCCTGAACGTAGGCCCATTAAGAAATTCTAATAAGCCCAATCGGCTTCCTATAAGAAAAGTCCCCTAGGTAGACCATAGGCTCGAGTTAACAAAACAGACAGTAATGTCCATTAGTCTCCCCATATGCAACCAATGATCTAACCAAAAAGATATATGCTCACCATTGTTGACATCCACACGTATGTGGTTTAGTGTCCTCTCGGAGTTTAAGCAGTTTTCGCCAAACCCAAGAGCTCATTGTTGAATGCGGAGCTGTCTAGAAGAAAGAGTTTAATGGTCATAAGATTACTAAGTTAAACAACGAAACACAAAACATATAAATGGACATGTAAACATATAATAATATATATGTAGTATATTATTAATGGACATGTAAATCTTACAATTACCACTTATAACATTTCTATTATTTTTAATAGAATCGTATTTTTTACCAATAGAATTTCATATATTTTCAAATAGATAGAATTAAAAAGTATTTAAAATAATCTAATTTATAAAAATTTAATATTATTAAACCCATGCAACGCATGGATCCATTTCTAGTATATAAGAATTAATTGATCATCTATTATTCATTAATTATGTATTTTGGTCACTTATTCCAAACTCTATGCACATATGACATGCAAAGGCCATATGCTATAAAGCCTACTCTATTTGCTAACAACAAAGTAGAATTCAATAGATTTCTTGTTTTATTTTTATTTTATTTATATGGATTTTCGAGTTTAGAGCGTACATTGTAATTTGTGTTTTAGGTTTTAGAGTTTTAGTTTATAAATATGTTTTAGGTTTAGAGTTTAATATGGAGTATTTGCACCCAGTGGCAATTGTTAGATAAAAAAATAAGAGAATAACATTAGAGATTTCAGATTTCTTAAGTGTTTTAGAAATATTTAGACGATTTTGCATATCCTATAATTTTTACGGAAAGTGTGATTTTTCTTTGATAAAATGTTACTTTTATCTGTCACATGTTATATTATTCTCTTACATGGAAGTTAAATATATAGATTAGAGATTAAGTGTTTAGTATTAATTTTTTCGCTAAGAACGTAAACATTTCATTAAAATGAATGGTAAATTGGAATTATGAAAAAGGATAACCGAATGGAATCAAACCGATTGCTAAACCGATTTCATGCCTGATAAGTTCAATCATGTAAACCAACACTATACACTAAAATAAAGAGATTCAAGTCGAGTTCAATCAAAACGTATAGAACTATCATAGATATCAATGGACCCGTAGTTGGGTTTAATTTAGGATAGAAATACAAGCATAAATATTCCTAATAAAATTCAAAAATTAATTAATGACACTAAATAGTCCAAATTATAAAGAATCAAAAGTTAATATGGTATCTCATCTAAAGAATGGTCAAAAGACAACCAACCAAAATGCAAGAATTGTGTCCACGAGATAAATCTTTATATTCTCACAGAAAGCTTTAAAAATACCAAAAAAATACGAACAAAACGAACATTGAATTTCAATGTCCATTTAGAAACAAATAATCAAAAATATGCAAGAACTATAATGCTCTATAATAATAAGTCAGTAACTCAATCGACTACTTTATCTAGTAACAAGCATAAAACTGGATTTTGTACATATAATAAATTTAGTCGATCTAAAGATTAGAGAATCTATTGTGCCACATGCCTACAATGGGAATGATAAAATTATCTGCTAATTTCTTGATTTTAACATCAAGTCATCAACCATAAAAAGTGTTATTGAAATATAAAGCCTGGTAGTGAATTCAAGAAAGATCCATTGCACTTTGTAAATAAATACATGTATGATTCAATAGAGTTTCAATCTCCATCAACTCTGTAAGACTAAGAGACCAAAGTATATACATTTATACATTGTAAAAAAAGCAAGGTATCTAGTACAATTGGTAGAATCTCAGCATTTTAGAGCATAACGCAAGACAAATACATTCGAGATTCAAGTAAACTACTAACATCATCTACATGAGACTGCAAAATGCACCATTTTATAGAAGGGGAGAGCCTATGATACATACAAGTACCGTAACAAAGATAATAAGTATTTTAAACATACAATGTAATGTTTCAATACCTTTTTATCAGTGTATAATGCAGAATGGTATATCTCATGTTTAGAATGATCATACCAATCATGGAGATCGATGGATCTTTAAATTGTTAAATGTAACTTACCACACTAAATACTCAAAGAATCAAGAAGCAAAAGTCAAGATGGTATGTATCATCCAAAGAATGATCAAAGAACTTTCGGAGAACCAACCAAAAATCAAGAACTATGATCTTATAACACAAAGCTAAAAAATTAACAGAAAACATTGTATATACACAAAACTACTACCAAAATTTTAAATGTCCACTTAAAAAGAACAAACATTTTCTTTCGTGAAAGGTTACAGACTGAATAAAAAATGAAAATAGACAAAATGTGCAAGAGAATATATATATAAGGGGTTATAGTCGTATAATGCCTCCACATGAGCCATTTAGTTTAGCAATTAGTTATGATGTTTCTTAGAAACAGAGACATCTATACAATGTTATTTAAAAGTAACTCAATGCACTACTTCGTCTAGTAACAAACATAAGACTGTATTTTGTACATAAACCTATGTACTAAAGTAGAGAGTCAAAAACTTTCAAGTCTAACAACTATTATAGCAACTGAAACAAAGTATTGGACATAAAATACATTTAGTCGACCTAAAGAACAGAGAAGAACATAGTAAGTATGAGAAAAGTGTACTAATTTCTGATTTTGACATCAAGAAAGATCAATTACACATTCTAGTGATTCAATAGTTTTCCAAGCTCCATCAATTAGACTAAAAGCAGACACAAATATCAGAACAGAGATAATTTCAATCACTATGTAGTAAAAACTCAAGGTAGCAGGTATAATTTATAGAATCTAACACAGTATCCACAGTTAATAATGCAGAATACCAAGAGTTTAGAGCATAACGTAAAACAAAGACATTCAAGGTTCAAAAAAACTACTACTATCATCTGTAGGAGTCTCATCTACGTTCAAATAAATATCTACAAAAGACTACAAGATGCATCATTTCATAAATTAGAAACCTTAAGTGCACCAAAACAAAGATAATTAGTAATTTTCACATAATCTAATGTTCTAAAACCATACGTGTAATCTTACTTTCTATCAATGTATGATGCAGAATTCCATAATGTCGTTTCTTATGCTGAAAATGATCAACAAGGGCAAGGTTTAGAGAAAACACAAAACAAAGACATTCAAGAGAACTACTACCATCATCTGCAGGAGTTTCATCTACGTTAAAATAAATATCTGCAAGAGACTATACAAGCACCAAACAGAGATAATTGGTATTTTACACATAATCTAATGATTTAGTAAACATAAATAAAATCACCCTTTTTATCAATGTATGATGCAGAATTCCATAATTTCATTTCGTATGCTGAAGGTTTGCTAATTTCTTGATATTAACATCAAATCACCAACCATAGAAAAGTGTGATAAAAACATAAGGCATGGTATAGAATTCAAGAAAAGACTCATTGCACTTTGTGAGTAAATACATGTGTAATTCAATAGAGCTTCAACTCTGTAAGACTACGAGACCAAAGCATAGACACTAATACCATAAGAGAGATATTTTTAATCAATGAATTGTTAAAAAAGCAAGCCAACTGGTACAATTGGTAGAATCTAACACAGTAGTCATCAGTTTATTATGCAGAATTCGAGACTGTAATTTTTGAGCATAATGCAAGATAAATACATTTGTGATTCAAGTAAAATACTAACATCATTTACATGAGACTGCAAGATACATCCATTTTGCAAAACGAGAGAGCTTATGATACATTTATAAGTACCAAAACAAAGATAATAAGCTAGTATTTTAAACACACAATGTAATGTTTCAATACCAAGGTAAAAAAAAAACATTTTTATTAGTGTATAATGCAGAATGTTATTTCTCATGTTTAGAATGATCCTATTAATCATGGAGATCGATGGATCCTTAATTTGTTAAATTAACTTACCACACTATATATTCAAAGAATTCAGAAGCAAAAGTCAAGATGGTATGTATCATCCAAAGAATGATCAAAGGACTTTCAGACAACCAACCAAAAGTCAAGAACTATGATCTTATAATGTAACACAAAGCTACACTACAGAAAACATTGTATATCAACAAAACTAAAACCAAAATTAAAATTGTCCATCTTTAAAAAACAAACAACAATAAATATTCCTTTCGTGAAAGGTTACAGATTGAATAAAAACATGGAAATCGACAAAATGTGCAAGATATGTATAAGGTTATAGTGGTACGATGCCTCAACATGAGCCATTTAGTTTACCAATTAGTTGTGATGTTTCTTAGAAAAGAAACATGACGGAACAGAGACATTTATACAATGTTATTTAATAGTAACTCAATGCACTACTTTGCCTAGTAACAAACATAAGACTGGATTTTGTACATGTT